ACACACACACACACACACACACACACACACACACACACCACACACACCATATGGCCACAGTATCATTTGGGACCCTCTCTGCTCAGTGTCAGCTCATGGTCAGATGAGTAACTTTAACCATAATCAATAAAAGTAGATATTAGAATATCCTATCTCACCTTCCTGTTCCTCCACAAGGAGTGCTTTTCTATTGTCTGTGACTGACCTGCCCACCTGGTCTGGGATAGTAGCACGGCAGTTCTCAAAATGTGTTTTGGGGAATGTTGGGAACCCCCATGACCCTTTCTGGGTCCCTTTGCTGTGGTGTATAACTGGTTAGGGACATTGAGAGCATTTTAGAATGTCGCTGGCATTATTTGCTCTTTCCTCTGACCCTCTCATAGGTAAACAGCAGGTTTTGTGGCATCTTATGACATCATCCCCATGGCTAATGGAATATATGTTTATATCTTCTTGTTCCTTATAATTTTCTTAATTTTAACTCAAATACAATAAAGGCTGATTAAGAGAAACCCCCAAAATGAAATCCCTTTAGATGCTCCTAATCATTTTTTAAAGTGCTAAACATGCCTTGCAATGAAAAATTTAAAGGCTACACAATAAGGGATTCACTTTTTAATCCCAACAGTATCTCCTACCTCTTGCACATAACAGACTCTATTTTGTATATGCTGAGTGCATGGACAGCCCCATTTATCTAACTCCGACAGACTCACAGCAGTGAACATCTGCTCACATAAGTTCATGGTTATTTACTTGTTTTATTCTTGGTTTTATTCAGACACTATAAAGCAGTCTGTATGTTTTGAGTCAGGATGGGCTGTCCTGCGTCACTAGCCTCCAGGCAGGAGAATTTATATCTCTCTGTTTCTTAGTACCAAGATCTTGCATACCAGAATCCACATTTAATCATGAGCTGGAGGAGGAAGAAGTTTCTGGAACCCACTGATTTCTCTTGGCCTTGCACACACTTTCATTCCCAAGTCACTCTTTACAGAAAGACTGTGCACTGTACTGAGGAGATCAGTGATTTTGGAGGGAGGAAGCATAAGTGACCTGTGTCATTATGACTCTGCATCCCCAAAGAGGCTGGATCACAAATCTAAACACTGACTCACTACAAGGCATCGTTTTTCACTCACATTTCCCCACACACCCGCACATTCAGATGACCTTCTCCTCCATCAGCCCTTTTTCTTCAGACCTTGCCAAGAATCGCCACAGTTCTAGGACGCAGTATGCCACAGATGCCATGTCACAAACCCCACATGGCTGCTCAGTGGACACGGCCACTTCCAGGGCTTTGCAAGCTGAGTGTGTGTGGCTGTGCATTCAACAGCCAGCAGTCCTTTTCCAATTTTCTTTCCTCTTTGGAATGAATGTAAAACATGAGAAATAATTTTGGGGGAGTGAGGGGGTGGAGGGTAGGAGTGCAGAAGGGGGGTGCTGGAGGCTGGACGAGCTGCAGATTTGTTTTACTCACAAGACTACAGTTTCACTCAGAGCGTCATTAATCAGTTCAAGAGCCCTAACCACAGCAATGTGAAGCCACCCTACAGCAATCAAAGGAAGGAGACCCAAGTTGGGGCAGGGGGTGGGGTGGTATTTCAAAGTTACAAAAGTGCTGTCGACATGGATAGAGGCTGAAGTATCACAGGCGGGTAGGGCCCCCAGTGAGACTTCACCCCAAGAATTACCTCACTCATACCCCATGGTTGCCATGGCAGCCATGTATATACCTCAAAGACAATCTTAACTCTACATGGCAAACGCTAAACAGGTGTTTCACCTTCCTTCGCTGTTTTGCTCTGTCTCAGTTCCTCTTAGCACAGTAGCTGAGTGTCTAGAAGCATTAGACTAACAAACTGAGTGCCTGGGTCCAGCTGCCAGATCCTCAAAAGGATCTCAAACCATTGGAGTCCAAGCTATGCACCCATTCTCCTATCACATAAGCTTCTGCACACAGCTCCACCTTCAGCAAGCAGCTCACTTTCCTTCCAATACATGGTCTGCCTACTGTTCTGTGTCCCTCGAAGCCTGCAAGGTGTGGGGATCAGAAAGGACTGCATTTCTCAGCCACATCTCTGAAAGCATTTAAGTTCACTGCCTTGACACTTGAAGAGGTGAGAGCCAGAGTCATCAGCCCTTGGCTGCACTTACTCAGTATCTCTTCTCATAGACCAAGGCCCCCACCCTCCTTGCTGCCTTGTTTGGCAAGCTATGATGAGGAAGAAACTCTAGCCTCCAGTTGATTAGTCTGCCTCTTAAGACAGGAAGTCCAGGCAAATGGTCCTTTGCCTTAAAGCAAAGACTCAGGTTATGAAACCCAAGTTATCCTAACTCAGATATCCAGGGCCTCCCGAATGATGTAACTGAATGTTTCTCTGTCACCCACCCGTGGCTGTGTGCCTCCCACAGGACAGCGAGGTGGTAGCACATGGGTGATCCCAATCAGTGCTATTGGGGAAGGGAGGGAAGGAGAGCACATGAAAGGCGGAAGCAGGGGGCAGAACCCAGTTGAAAAGTAACTACCCAGTCACAGCTACCCCGGCGGGGACTCCATTAGCCTCTTCCTTCACCCTCAGACTTCAGAAACCAAGATTCTACTCTCAAACAAGCATGGAAATCAGTTTGAAAGGAGAAGAAAATAATCAAACGGTTTTTAAAAGGAATCCCTGCTTTGAAAAATTCTGATTTTTTTCCTTCCTTTTCAGCAAAAATGGGCTAATTGGTTCCATCGTATATTATCCATGTGGTCACAATGGCAAAGCTTTCTTCTCTTCAAGACCATGCTCCATAGTCTTTCCTCACTGGATTAGGCAGAGAGAGAGAGAGAGAGAGAGAGAGAGAGAGAGAGAGAGAGAGAGAGAGAGAGAGAAAGAAACCAAGCTTTATCTTCTTACTCCCAGAATGGAGGCATGAAGAAGCAGAAAGCTCCAAGGATATTTTCCTTCCTTTCTCCCAAGCCCCCAAGGAAAAGCAAAACCTCAATTCAAACAAAACATAAGCTCTGAAGTCCCACAGAGACCGCTCCCCCAAAGTCTCTAGCCCCATCTTTCCTTCATATCAACCACCTGTTGCTGTGAATTCTAACCCCCAAGGGAATGGGCTCTGCTTCCTCATCATCTAGCATGGACCACACTCTGAACAGCTTGCTACAGCCTGGCCCAGAATCACTGCCCCTCTGCCCCCAGAGTCATCAGACCTAGCTTAAAAAAAAAAAAAATGACCAGAGTGGGCTCAGGTTCCTGCACAGGTAACTAAACACACATTCATCAGCCAAAACCTGAGCCTTGCATTGAGCTTCACAGACATTAGGCGACAACAAAGCATGGGGCTTTATGGTCTGCCTCCCAGAGAGAGTCTCATTAAATCTACAAGTGCTGCTGGGTGGCAGGGAGCACAGCTCTACTCCCTGCAGGCCAAACGCAAAGGAAACTTTCATCCTCTGGGACAGGTACTTAGAGGAATGGTGCCGTCCTCCTGAAAACCCATTTGGTTTTGATTCCCTCCAGAATAGGGCCCGATAGGCCCGGCATTCTGCTTTCATCCCTGCACTCCAGTCGGACGTAAATCTAAACCAGAGCCCCCAGACGGTGCATTTAACAGAGACTATATTTACCCATCACCAAATTGTCTTGACGTGTGCTTAATTACTTAAATGTCTTTAATCCAAAGTCTTTTCTTCTAACAAAATAGAAACCAGTTCAGCTGGATGAATGATAAACCAGATGTTTATAGCACACACCGTGGCCTGGCTCCGGTCAAAATAATTAAGACATCGTCTCCGAAACAGGAGGGGAGATGCCCAAAGCATACATTTGTTTAAATGCTCTGACACCAAAATGTTCATGAAAATACACCTCCATCAATCTGTAACTTTCTGTCCATGGAAAGACAATAATAGCTTCCATAGGAAGGGAGCAAGAAAGGTGTGTGTCCTCCCAAGATATGGTCAAGAAGGCTAGGGTTTCTTTCCAGGGATAAGCACACTTTAAAGTCATTCCATGATGGAGTATACTTCCAGGACCCTGGCAGTTGACCTTTGGAAATGTGACATTGATTAAGGATGTGTCACAGGGATAGGCCAAGTGTATGATCGCCTACACGCTTCTCCCACCAGGCAGAACCCAACTTGCAAATATTTTTCATCTCTTAACAATGTTATACATTAGCCTGTAATCCCTCCCTTCCAGGAGAAGCTGAGACACTCCTCCCTGGGCCAGGCAGGGGGAGTCAATGGAGGAAACCTAGAAAGTTAACAGGTAGATCATCTCTAAACTCTCACTTTTTCAAGATCAGCTCCTCTTGTTTATCTTTTTATACTAATTTTAATGCTCTCCAGAGAAAGGAATGGAGGAGAAGAGGAGGGGAAGGAAAGGGAAGAGACGGAACAAGCCACTAATAGCTAGAACATTCAAAGGGAATGAATTTGAATTCTATATGTTCATATGATAAACTTTAGAAGAAATAACACAATATGGGACCCTTATAGACAGATTTGGTTACCCTTGGGTGTTTCAGAGAACAGAAAGCAAAGCCCTCTGCAATACTCTCCACAGTCCTAACTGTCCATAGGTCAGGAAACCTGAAGCAGCCCACACCCCATTGCACCTTGCTCCTGTTCCTTGTCTTTAGCTAACTTCAGAATTCCTGAGAATCACCTGGGTGGGTTGTTAACCA